ACAACAAACTCTGATTGCCCAACATTTCTAAAAGGCGAGTCCAAATAACAGGGAATTAAACCCACCAGTGAGGCAGCAGGATCAATGCAGTACAAGAAACGGCAAGAGAAGACGAGTCCCACAGGATTTCCAGAGAGTCCTCTGGTATCTTTTATTTTGATTAATGTCCCAGTAATGGATTAGTTTCCTCCGCTCGGTATTATTGTTTCAGGCACCTTATTAGAGGAGCTCGAGAGGGCTTTGCTACAGGGATCAAACTGGCTTGTCTAGTTTCGCTGCAGCTTCCGCCAGCAACTCCAGACTCCCCTCTGACTTCTTCCTGACCGCCAGCACCAAACATGGCAACCCATGCTCAAAGTGAACCCGAGCCTGGGAAAGAACCAACCTAGCCAAGTTCAACGTCTGCTGCAGCAAATCGGGAGAGGCATCTTGCTCTATTAAGCACCCAGAATGCTTGGCTGCAACAACTGTTGACCCTGGCTGGCATACCAAAACCACCATTGATAATACTCTGTTTCCCCAGCGGTAGAAGAATTCAAGCCATTAGCGAGGTGGATAGTGTGGTCTGAGGCCAGTTTCCTAGGGGACAGGCATGGTATAAAGCCCCAGAGGAATGATACTGGACAGAGGGCACAAAAAACAAATCGTTAAGGGGAGGTGATGGGTCCTCTCTAACCCCCTGTGATGTCCTAGGGTAGATTTCCTGCATCAGACATGAAAAACGGGGGCTAGTCATCATGTGCCTGGTGCTATAGGGTGAGGAGGGGAACGTCAGGAAACCGCCGTGACTCAAACCATACACACAAAATGAAAGCGAGACCAAGGCTGTCCCCGATCCAGCCTCTACGGTCACAAGAAAGTGATGCCCAGTCAGTGTATTAGAGACTAATTCCTTCTCCAGAGCAGAGGAAAATGAAGAGACTCCTAAGGTTCCTCTTGTTTCTCCCAGTCTGGTTGATTGGTTTAACCCTCAGCATACGAGCTAGAGTCACCATGGCTGACACTTGGGTCGTACCGGGAATCTGCCCCGTTTCCAGCGCTCAGTAGACAGCCACCAGTGAAGCTCCACCGAGGCAAGCACGGGTACCACCCATCTACAGCAGCAGTGAACTTGGGCAAAGAGCCGTTCCCCCCACAGTGTAGACAAAGAGCCGATATGTCCAGGCCCGTTTGTAGTCTGAGACACACCCGGCGTTTCTCCACCTTTCTTGAAGACTATGGCACCCAAGGGAGAAGCTATGAGTGGGGGGAGCGGGGAGTGATGGGGGCAAGAGCAGCTAGAGACTACAGGAACTAACCTTCTGGGCGCTGGATGCAGGTGTGCTGGTTGTCACTCAGGAAGAAGCCCTCCCGGCAATGGCACTCATAGCTGCCCATCATGTTGATGCAGGTCTGCTGGCAGCCACCGTTCCCCACAGAGCATTCGTCCAGGTCTGAAAGAGCAAGCGAGAGAAAGAGTGAGAGAGCCTGTCATCCCCCCTCTGATCCAAAAACAGCGGCGCAACAGCAGCAACACACCCCAATGCCAAACTGCAGAGTAAGAGCTGCATGCTACGTGATAAATATACAGGTGCTCCCACCCAGAGTCTGGAACGGGAGCTGACGCTGCCTTGATCAGCAGGTGAAAGCAGCTTTCATGGCAATATTACCAACAAGGAAACAGAGGCACGTGGAGAGTGCAGGTTTCATTGGCCGTGGCAAGGGGTTTGGACTCTGGCCACATGGGTTCTGCTCCAGTTGCCATTGACTCGGCATTCAGCCTTGGCCATGTCTCTTCCCCCTTTTAGGTGCCTTGATCCGTCATCTGTAAAAATGGGGGGAGCAGAACACGCCCAGCCTCATAAAACACTTCAGACCTACAAGAGAAAAAGGCACCATTGCCCATTAATAGTAATGCTCTTTAGGCCTCCAAACTCTTCCGGCAGCCAGCAGGCAGGTGACACTCAGTCCTCCACTTTATAGATGGGGAAACCCGAGGCACAGACACAGAAAGTGACTTGTCCTATGTCATACAGGGAAGTTTGTGGCCAGGTTGGTAAAAGAACCCAGGATTCAGACTCCCAGGTCCCCGCTCTAGCTGCAGGAGACTATACGGGCTCTCCTGCTCCTTTTTCTTCCTCCGCAACGGCTGCGAGTGACCAGGCATATACGCACTCCCTGAAGAGCCTCTCGGAGCCTCACACGCTCCATGGCAGGGGCTGCATCGCTGCTGGGAAGTCAAGACATTTAATTTCACCCAGGAGCCTCAACATACGCCATGAAGCCTTGCTTTAGGTGTACACGTTTGCAAATCTTGGCAAAAGTCACCACTCAAGCAACATCTCAGGCCCTTTAAAGGGGCCTGAAAATGCCTGCAGTGTGTTCCCTGGAGTAGGGAAACCTTCACTAAGAGCTTGCTCAGACCATTCATTCTGAAATCCTCAGAAGCTTTGCTGCTTTAATAAAACAAAGCCCAAAAGGCTGCCGGCCTTCAGAGCAGCACTGGCTTAGCACCAGCCTGCCTGGAAGGGGAGCTCCAGGGTCCCCACACACCATCCCCTGGCAAACAGGGAGGAGTGACCTCGAGGGCTGTAGGGCCTGGGTGTTTCCAGAGAACAGAGTCCTCAATGTCTCCAGAACAAGTACAGCACTGGGAGTAGGAAGGCAAGCTCCTCGCTGCTCACCTCCTACTCTCGCCAGACACGGTGGATCAAGCTACTCCTGAGGGTACGGACAGACAAACAATTATACCAAGTTTAAAGTGCGGGGACTTCTGCGTCACCTGATTCATGGTAACTGTTTCATCTGTCTGCTCTGTCCCACGATAAGTGGAAGCTAAACACAGTTAATGTTTGAATACAACAGCTGATCAATTCCTGGGGTTTAGCTCCCATTTTGCAGGGGGAAGAACAGTTAGACGAAACCATTTCAGTGGATCTAGAGGAGACATAAAATGCACTTACAGCAGGCTGCTGGATGAGCAAGAAGTACTCTTCCCTTTTACAACTCCATCTGTTTCACCTGTTCATACCCCCAGGCAGCTAAAGAAAGGGCACGCCAACCCCTTCCTGCGGCAGCAGGTGTGCGACGTGGGGACCTCGATGGAATTCACATCTACTGCAAGCCGCAACCGATTGTCCAAGCCAAATAAAGGATGAGCCACACGGGTCCCAAGGGCACCCAGCACCTACCCAACTATGATTCTGCCTCTGGTCGAGTCATTCCAGGATCCCTACTCATTATGCAGTCCTGGGGACTGAGACTGCTCAATCTAGCTTTTCTTCTCAGTGACCAGGCTGGTATGTGGCATGGGTGCTGGACAGGGCTCCGGTCAGACTGCAGAGCCAAAGATCTCTTTGACCATCTGGTCCAAAATCCTCAGGCTTCCAGGATAGGGCAGTTTCTCCATCTCGGGCTTTTTACTACCCTGGACCTTTTCCCCCAAAGAACAGAGGAGAAATGCAATCAGCCCTCTCTCCCAGCGTGGAGAGAAAGCATCAGGATGAGGAGCGAGAGGACCAGTGCCAAAGAAAACCTCCTGTGAACTCGAGCGTTTCAAACCCAGCAGCTAAGTGGAAAGCTGAGCCCCTTGGACACCAGCAATGAGGCTGTGGAGCGGACTCCGGAAAAGCTGGAATAGCAGGTCGATGACAGCATGTGGAGGGAAGGAATTCCAGATCGGGCCCCCAAACACAAGCACACATCTGAGCAGCTCATTAAAGTGCACACTCAGATATGCACACGCCAGCTCCCCTGCCCAGAGACAGCAGGGTACACCCACCACACGCATGGCATGCCGCCTTACCCCCAGGTAAATCTGCACATGTGCATGTTTGCAGGGAGCGACACAAACTCATCTGTGCACAGGAGGCTCCTACAGGGGCAGATGGGCACAGTCAGACAGAGACGTGCCCCTGCACACACTCGTGCTGAGACAGCTAACCCAGGTACAAACCCTGCCCCTGGACCAGCAAGTGCAAGACTCTCCTAGGGTCAGTCACTCACACTCCCTCACAAATTCGGAGCCACCCTTAGTACAATCCTTACTGGGAAGCACCAGGTGCAATCACTGTCTCGGTGCCGAGCGGTCTGGTTCCAGAAGCAGTGTGCGCAGAGTGAAGGTGGGTCCTTCTGCACCGTGCTAGTTTGCACCACACAAAGATGCATCCCCGAGGCTCCAAGGAGGCATTTAGCTCAGAGCCTGTGGCTGGTCGAGGGACCTGCGCTCAACCCAGCGGACCAGCATCTCAGCCATGCACTTAAACTGAACAGGCATACCTCTGTTGCTTTCTGTTGAGCCAAGATGGCCAGTTACAGGTCCTCAGTGCTTACAGCCCATGGCTGGATTTGGCCTGCAGACATGAGGTTTCGGTGGCAATGGTGGGGGCCGGGTCCTAGCGCTGCCCACCTGCCTCTGACCCAGAGCAGGTCATTCTAGCTCGCAGCCAGAAAAGGTTGCCTCCCCTTGGCTTAAGGCAATGCCACACTGCCCCGTGTCCTGCTTCAACCCAAACCAGCTGGCTGTGATCCCGAAGCAACCACACGGTAGCCAAGCATAGTCCAGCTCAGCAGAGCCCTACAGTACACTGCAGCCAAGAGCTCCCCAACACCCAGGGAGCCCATTTGTGCCATGCAGACTTTAGCCCCACGCCTCCCATCACCTGCAGCACCACTTCCACCCAGCCGCTACATGGCGGTCTCCCATCCATACGCTGCCCCAGCTTGACCTTGCTCAGCTTAAGAAGTCTAAACAGGATCCTAGCACAAGGTGGTACAGGCTGGAAGCTGATAAAGGATAAAAGGCAGAGAGAAGATTAAATGACCAGGGCTGCCGTCTCCCTTGTCCCAGCACATTGTTTCAGACGCAGGAATCTTTGCTTTTGCTTCTCCAGGCATTGAGCTAGCTCCTGCCAGCTGTCTTAAAAAGGAAGACTGGAAGGGGATGCTCTAGTCAGTGGCGGGAGGTTTCTTTCCTGAACACGATCCTAGTCTTAACCACGCTCTGTCCCATATGTGCCCGTAACTCCTTTCAAATCCCTCCCTTATAACAAGAGCTTAACTCCTTGTGACTTCTCCTTAAAACTCAGTGCGAGAATGACAAGGCACCAGTTCAGAACCAATGGCTGAAACGAGACGCCGTGGCCCTAATGCCTATTTTATTAAACGTAACAGAGACGGCCAGAAGCCAAAAGGCCCCCACGTCAGGGCGAGGGCTCAAATTCCTGTCCTGGTTCAAAAGGTTACGTGAGATCTGATGGGAGGGGATGCATAGTGGAATTTCTGTTAATAACATCTAAGTTGCAGACAATCCCCTACAAGTCCCAGAAAGGCCAAGCCTTCCCTCTGCCCCCTGCCCATACGCCAGCGCACATCACATGCCCTCCTCCTCAAGATGTGCCAAAGCGAGCAGACCAGGGAAGAGAGATGGCTGCAGCTGCCAGGCTCACACCCACGCGGCCAGCATTAACTGGCAACGAGGCAGCATTGTCCAATGTCCGGCAGGACACCAGACTAGGAGTTGAAACCTAGGGGTCCCATTTCCCCACTCTATTACTGATCTACTGCAATCCTCCAGGCAAGGCAGTTGGAAACTGCCACCTCTTTAGTTTTCAATCAATTTTTGATTCAAGAAAAATAGAGCAGTTTTCCTTTTGCAAAGAGGTCCGAAAGACCACAGCAGGCCAGAATGTTTCTAATGCCGTGGATTCTTATCTGAAGTCTCTGCATTTATCCTGGGAATCGTGTTTGCGCGCCCAACAGTACTAATCCTGCATGGCAACTTGTGGCACCCCTGAAAGGCTCTCAAGGGAACCCAGGATGCCATAGCACCCTGGTTGAGAACTGCTTCTCCGTGCCGAAAGCGGTCTTCACTGCAAAATAGGACCCAGGAGCTTTTACCTCCACATCAGGGAAGAAGCAGGTGGTAGGACAGCGCTGATCTCAATAGATGCACCTTGATAAAACGGTCTGTCTTGTCTGCACAACGATTTCACACAAGTAACTAGAAATAGAAACACCTTGTGTGTGTGAAGACTTGCCTCAGTTTCTTTGCCTACAAAATGGGGGCAATTACACTTACCACCCTTCCCTTTGAGACTTGCATATTAAAAGCCAAGTTCTCTGCTGGTATCCTAGCAAATCTGCATCAGCTGACGATCTTACACCTGTGAGTGCAAAACACAGTTATCTTCCGGCAAGGTGGCTCCTGGAATCGCTAAGGTGAGGGAACACGCCAGACAGCTGGTTGTAAAGACAGAAGGTATAGGTAAAGACAAATACGGCAGGACAAGTCTCAGACAAGGAGTCCCAGTTTGAATCCCGGTGCTGTATTGGGAGGAGTGGGGGCTAAGCAAATATAACGTCAGACAAGTCTTGCTTAGCGTCTCTGACCCCTGTTGCATGTATGCAGAAGGGGCTGAGAACACTTCTTCACGTCACCAAGGAGGCCATTATTCTTGTAGAGCTAAGAGCCACCAGAAATGGCGCTTGGAAAAACAGCGAGAGATCCAGAACCAGGGGAGGAAGACGTGCTCTGGACCAGTGGGGAGCTCAAAATCAAGGTCACGTTGCCTAAAAGATGAGATGGCCTGTAAGAGGGGCTGTCCTCCACGAGGAAAGAGGCAGTGTCACTAGGCAAGGCAAGAACATGCTTGCCCGAGGCAGGAGAGCACGGGAAACAGCAACAAAGCAGAGCCCATGGGAAGGAGACTTCCTGCTGGATAAACTCATCCCCAATTAAGGGGCTCAGACGTTCAGCCCAGCGCTCCTGGGAGAAGACAGAAGAGGATCCCCGGGGTGCCAGCTCTGATGGCTGCTTCTCATAGACCTTATGCAGTAGGAGGCAGGCCTTCAGCCTCCCATCTCATCGTGTCCATGACAAGGCATGAGGACAGGCTCAGGGTCTACAGGAGGAGGGGAAGAAATCAATGAAACATCCCCCATTCACAGCAGGTCCTCATGAGCTAAGGACTGACAGCTAAAGCCAGCTGCCCTCCACCACCGCTGGTCCCCAGCTCCCTCCAGCAGCCTCCTCTTACCCAGCCTTCCCTCTGCAATGCAGCAGGGATCTTTGTAAACACATGACGTCCACTGCTCTTCATCCCAGCTTTGCTTTCTTTCCTTGGGCTCCTCATCGTGCGGGACAGGAAGGCAGGTCTGCCCCTCCCGCATCTGCTTCCAGCTGTGTAAATCTCCCTGTTAATGGGGAGAACTGCGAAGTCCTGGCGATTGTGCTTAATGCAAAACGCATGTGTGCATAATCTCACCCCCCCCCCCTTTTGATGAGCTCATTAATGACCCCTCTGCAGACGCTAATTAGAGTGAAATCAGTGCAAGGCCATTTCCGTGCCTTCCACATCAACCTGAAGCAAGGATGGCTGCAAATCCCACATGTCCATGGCTTCTTGGCTCCCCTTCTGGGCATCAGCGCAGCAGTTCAACCTCCCTTCTCCCTCTGGCAGCACCCCGCACAGAGGGTGCCAGTGGAAGAAGAGAGTCGGTGATGCCGCAGCGGGGCAGGTGGCCAGGCTTGCTTAGAGCCGTGAAGACAGAGCTTGACAATGGTTTGGATCAGCCGTGGCCGGATGGAATCTGGGGGTGGGACGCGCGGCCTCTTTGCGAGCCGGTGCAGGGTTTGTTTTGGACCGGGAATTATTTACCCATCCTGGTTGCTGGTTAATATCCCTGCTGTCCTTGCTGTTAACTCATCTATTTTGGCAGGTGCAAGGCTGACCTCAAGCCTGACTGGGCAGCTGGGACTCCTGCATCCGATGCAGGCTGGTGCTTCCTTGGCTAGCAGGGCACGCAGGGGAAGAGCAGAGACCACGCACGGGTCTCGGCAGTGGCGGGGCCTGGGTGACAGTGGGTCTATTCCCAGCTCTGCCCATCGCTCGCTGCAAAGCCAAGAGCAAACTGCTTCACTTCCTCATGCCTCAGTTTCCCCAACTGCACAAGCACAGCCAGCGGCACAGAAGGCCCCTTTCAGGACTGATCCGGCTAATGGTTGTATGGGGTACAGCTGCCAGGTCCAACACAGCGTATTGACACCTGCCTTGCTTATCACGCACCCTCTGCAGCTCTGAGACAGCCAGGAGCAGAGAGCCCCTGCTAGGTTAATACACCAGGGTAGCTGGCTTGTGCACCTACCTACCCCAAGGCCCTGTGCCCCAGCTCCCACGGCCCTGCTGGGGACTCCAGGCTGGGCTGGAGCTTCTTAGCACGTGGACTCGCACTGCCTTCCTCGCGCCGTTAAAGATGCCGCCATAGAATGGAGGAGCAGCCCTGGGACTCCGCCACCGCCCACCCGGGCAGTAACAACCCCAGGCCCAAGCAGCGCGGCTACACGGCTGCTGCCAGGGCTGAGCCCGAGCAGCGCGGCACTCACTGATGCTGCCATGGGGATGGGATCTGGGGCCGGCTGCCTCCCCTGTCAGCAATTTTCCCTAATAACATGTTTGAAATATGTAACTGGGAGATTACGATCTCTCAGCACGAGGTTCCCGGGGCAGCGGTGGGGAGAGGGAGTCAGCATTTCCCTGACGATATGTCAGTGTTTAAACAACTCTGAAAATTCCCAGCTGCTGCTGCTGTTAGTACTTTGCAGACGCAACAAAAACAGTGTCTACAAAAAAAACTGTCCCCGAGGTACATTTTTGCATCGGTTTGTACCATGCTGGGTTTTGCAGCGTGGAGGGTGGGCAGATGTTGGGAGATCATGGGAGCTGCCGCGCGGCAGGTTTGTGCCAGGGATCAGGGCACAGTGGCCTAAGAGATGGGGGGAAAACCTGTGGACAGGGGTGAATTGGGTAGCAGAGTGCAGTGCCGCAGGGGAAGTCTGGGCCAAGGAGAGGGCCACACTAGAGAAAGGGGAAGCAAAGCAAGTCCCAGGATAAATCTGAGCAGGTGAGATGGAGCAGGAGGGAAGCAAAGCCCAGGGGCACCCCGAGGAGCAAGGGAGGTGGGAAGCACCGAACATAAGGACAACTGTTGGACGGGGGTAAGCAGTGTCACTGCACTCTCTGCACCCACCACCCTTGCTCTTGATTCTCTGCTTTTCCCAAAGTGTTTCTTCCTCTTGGCCATCTCTCGCTCGGGAGCTCCAAGATTCACTCCCCGCCAGAGTCGCTCAGTGAGATGCCCCAGCAATTTCTGGCTGGTGGTGTCTGTGGGCTCGCTGGGACTTGCTGATGACGAGCAACATGTCTAGGAATGCTACTCCCCAGGGCACTAAGGAAAGCCCGTGACAGACTCCCCTCCCTTGCTTGCTGGAGCAGGAGCTGGGCACGAGAGGCCGTCCGCTAGAGCCTGGTGCCTGCCTGTGGAACAGGACTGCTCCAGACACCGATGCAGAAGCGCTGGCAGAGGGATCCAGGGTCTGTCAAGCCCCGCTCCCCTGATCGCTCTCCCTGGCTTGGCATCCAAGAGCACGACATGGAAGCAGCGTGTGCAGGAAAGGTTTCGGGGGGGTGCCATCCCTCGCCTGCTCCCGGACGCAGCTTTGGGAGGCAAATCTACAAGAGGCTCTCAGACACTGCGCGGTTTTTACGCCAACCAGGATTCATGTCAAGGAGCTGGGAATAAATGGGTTTGATTCCGCTGACCGCCGTGGGGATCACGCTGCACAGACCAGAACTCAGGGTGGCAGGGGGCGTCGGGTTAATTCGTTAGGCCTGCCATTCACCTTCTCAGGCGACGGCAGAAGAAAGAGATGTGCGTCTTCTGGCTTTCCGACTACTTAGACCTGCGTGTCCCGAGCACCCCTTGGGTTATCAAGTTCTCTCACTGGGCTGAAAGGCTGACAGTAAAAAAGCAGCTCACCTTCCCGCAATACAATGTGCTCTCGCGACTTGGGTCTTACTGGCTGGTCTTAGCTCCCCGCAACAGGTGGAGCCAAAAAGCTCCACCTCTTCAAAGGTCCAGCCCCCGCATTTGGGGAAAAGCATGGCCATTTAGTATACTTTCATATTTTTATTGACGTATCAGCTAACAGCCATGACCAAGATGGGTCTCGCTGTGCTAGGCACTGACCAACATGTAATAACTAGTCCATGCAGACGACACCAGCTGCTGGCTTGTCTAAGAGGCTCACCAGCTGTAAGCCCATATTGGCTCTTACTTTATCTTTCCCGAAACCAGTCACACCTTGTTTCCCACTAAGACAGAGGAGTCACATCTGTTTGAATGCAGACTTAACAACAGCAAATGCTCTTGGTGATAAATCCTCTGGTGAAGAAACCCGGCAGCTCTGCCTGACCCTAGAGAAAGGGTGGGCCTTGGACTCCAATAGCTGGACTGGCCACTCAGAAAAGCTTGCATTCCTCTCTGGGACACAGAAGCAATAAACACAACAGTAAGACCTCACAGCTGGAGCATTTGTGCAATGGCATACGGCGTGTCAGAAGGCACGGGAGAGCAGAGGGAACATGGATCACCCCACAGCTCTAAGCTACTCCTCCCTTCCCTTCTGCACCCACATGGGACTGGACACTGAAGGTGGGGGAAGTCCACCAGGGTGGTTCAGAGGCAGGCTGCTCTAGTACAGGCTTTACAGCTGTGAAAATCCAGTCGGTGCATCTGACTCACAATGCAGGGTTAGATCACTGAGCCCAGCTATTACAGGCCTGACCCTCAGAAGGGCTGCACGCACTCCCAACTGGGAGTGAAGGACCCAGCAATGCACAGAAAGCAGTCACCTTTTTACAGGTCCAGGCCCCGCAAAGGCAACCCCCCGACAAGATGCACCTTGCCAGCCATCCTTTTCTCAGCTATTACTTCAGGCTGTCTACAGACTCAGGATGACACCCTGCTGGCAGTCAGATTTTCAAAGTTTTCTCTCTAACTCTGAAAGCTGAAAACGCCCTGTTGTGAAATGGAACCCGAGCTAACACAGCACAGCACGGTCCCTATACTGGGTGCCATGTAGTGGGGATTGTGCCGCTGTCATCAAACTAATAGAGCTGGTCCTACAGCTCAGGTAGCAGACACTAATGCTTTTTGATCCCAGGTTCAGCTCCTGCTGACCACCAGCTCTGGTATATTGTTGCACCAACCTGAGGCAGGACTCTGCAGCACTTCTGTAGCACGGGAAATCGGTTCTAAGGCCCATGGTTGCAGAATTGTGGTGCACACAGGGCCCCATCTAAACCCACCAAACAGCTTGCCAAGGCCTTACCCAGGCAGTTATGTCCGTCTTGGGCCAGGCGGAAGCCATCGTAGCAGGTGCAGCGGTAATTCCCTGGGATGTTGACGCATTCATGGACACAGCCAGCGTTATCGTCCCGCTCGCACTCGTCAACATCTGCAAAAATAGAAGAGAAGGAGGGAGAGTGATGAGACATGACTTCATCCCAAGGCCCAGCTACAAGCTTCGCAGGCTGGGAGGGGGCCACTGTGACTTGTGAACATATGTGATATTCCTGATTGTGAGATTGCATACAGCCCATACAGACTGACAGCTGCGCCCTGTAATCTCTGGTATCCCAGTGTGAGCCATTCCACCCACTACATTTTGGTGCTGCTCATATCCAGCTATTCCCTGGCTTTCTTATCATGTCACTGCGACCAGTATGGAGGAAAGGACAGATGTACCACTGCAACCAAAACAGCCTGCCTGCCACTGAAGTAACTCCTGATGTCCGTATGAATGCACACTTTCTTTTGGACTCTTGTTAAATTCTTGTCCTTAGTCTGAAGCCTGTGCTTGGGTTCACGGCATTGCAGGGGAACGTCTGTCTTTAAGAACTGGTTTTCACCAATTTCTGGTTGCTGCTGTTGAACTTTACAGCGATGTTCCCATTCCTATTCAACTGCGTGCACCTCCCTCTTCCGCCCCTAGCAAATCGAGACTTCGGACCTCAAATTAATTGGCTGTCATCCCTCTAATCTCTTTGTTTGTTTCCCTGCTATTCACCATGTCAGTGGAAGCTGAGATACTCCAGAAACAGGGCCTTTCGATACCCTGAATGCCCATTTTACCTCATTGTTAATGCCCATTAACAAAGTCCAGAAGCTCTGCAGATGCAGTCCTAGTGTGAAAGGAATGGGAGTCAGACTCAAAAAGAAAGCATAAAGGCAGGCAACACAATGGGAGTACAGGAGCCAGCTGCACACAATAGTTCCCAGTGCCAGTCCATGCCTTCTGATGTCCAGTACTAGATTGTCCTGAGGCCAGTATCTCTGCTTGTGGTAGCTACTTTGTATTGAAAATGCTCCTATGGCAGCTGAAAATAAGATGCGATTTGATGGGGCCTTTCAGCTTTGGTAGAGAGGGGGTGCTGAGGTTAAAACACTGTGTTGAAACTCAAAGAAGATGCAAGTTCAATTCCTGGCACTGCCACAGGTTCCATGTGTGATTGTGGACAAATCGCTCAGTCTTTCAATGCCTCAGTTGCCCAATCTGCAAAATGGTGATAGCAATACTTCTGCTCTCATATTTGGACAGTAAGCTCTTGGGGGCAGAGACGCTCTCTTGCGTGTAGTTACAGCATCAAAACCATGGAGCTTTATGTGGCACTGTCACATGCACTAACCCTTCTCTGAACAAGGCGCAGCAGGAACTTCAATCTAGCACTACAGCAGTGCTGGCCCTAACCACCAAGATACCGCTATTCTGATGTCCCTCTCACCTCCATGATGAAGTTTTGGGTCAATGAGAGGAAAAAGCTCCCAATGAAACCTTCATCAAACCTGCATCTTCCTATAGAGAGTTCTGGTATCAACCAAAAAATCCAGAGCTGCTACAGCTGCAGTACCAAGTCCTCAATGAGCTGGGACCATTCAGCTGCCACCCTCCACATTTACTGGTGCTCTGTATCTCCATTCGGGCACTTGGGAATACCCAATGGAGGAGAGGGGTAAGGGCTCGGAGCAGGCGAGGCAGAGCTCTGAGCTGGTATTTGATTTTGCTTCTCAGTTTCACTCCAGTAGGTTCTCATGTCCTAGCCTACAGATACACCTCTGGGTTGCAAACAGGGCAGGAAAATGCTGATTTGTTTAAAACAAAACCCAGCTGATTCTGCTGGAATCTAAACAGAAGCAATCTCTGGAGCACGGCTGATGTGAAAGTATGGGGTGGGGACGCGATGACGGATGCTTTGTTTTTCCAAATGGTCAATTTAGGGTTAGACGCAACCCTTCAATTAGAAATAGAAATCAACCTTCTCCTGGCACCACTGCTGTCCTGAGCTTGACCCTGTGCTGGCAAAAATGGATGCCAGGAGGAGCACAGCAGCAAAGTGGTTAAAGCATCTTGTTAGGCCTCTGAAGGTGTGAGTTCAAGCTCTGCTTTGGACATGCACCAAAGGCTGCTCCCAGCTGTCAATGACTGCCAAGTCATTTGGGCTACGGGGTCAAAAGCAGCAGGACAGGATACTGGTTGCATCATTGGCTCACATGCTGTTGGCTAGAGGACCTAGTATGTCTTGCCCATACAAGCCCGCTGCACTGGTAAGCTTAGGCAGACCACATTTGCTTACACCCCGCAGGACCACAGTAAACAGCATAGGCTGGGCTGGGACTAAAGCAGCACCCCCCTGTTGCACAGCGAAACCCGCACAAACACAGCCCCATCTCCCAGTGATTCCTCAGACTCTGCCACTGGCTGAGGCAGCTGGGCTGCTTACCTTTGCAGTGCTTCCCATCCCCGGAGAAGCCAGACTTGCAGATGCACTTGTAGGACCGGGGGGGGTTCTGACAGATGGCGTCAATGTGGCAATTGTCGGTTCCCTCAATACATTCATCGACATCTGTGAAGGAGGAGGAGGAGATAAAGTAACATTGCAAATACCCGCGCCCACTTGAGATGTGCCAACCTTGCTCCCGTGTTGCTCCTGACGTTGCTCCGCATGAGGTTGGGGTGAAAGATCAGCCTTGGAAGCTGAAGTTCTCCACACAGCAATGGGCCAGCAGTAGGACCGGTCTGCTATGCTTGCTGGCCCCAAAATAATCCAGGCGCCTCAGCTGAACCCCGGAGGGGGGCTCCTCCCAGGGTGAGAATTCAGTCTCCGGACCTCTCGGTCCTTGAGCCCTTGCTAAGGTTGTCAACCACTACTAGCCAGATCCAGTTGACACCCACATCCATGGAAAGACTCCCACTAACTTCAACAGGAGCTGGATTAAGCCTAATCAGAACAGAGGTGACCACACTTCTGCCACGGGCTGTCAGGGGGCTCAGTAAAGGAACCACTGAGGGAAGTGTCTGCGGGCAGTCAGATACACCATCTCAGTAGCCCCTTCTGGCCCTGAAAATGTAGGGGTCTGTGAAACAAGGAAGTGCTAGCATTTAGGGGCTTCACCAACCTCTCAGGAAAGGGATTAAAAAGAAATGTCCCCAAACTACCCCATAACCACAGGGTCTGTTGCACCTCCTTTTGATGCAGTTGGGGCTGGCGGCTATTGGAGACAGGGTGCCAGAGTGCGTCCATGCCATGTCCAGCCCAGCATGGCCCTGTCTGTGCCTTTCAAGACCTGGACTGGGAACTCACTGCATGAGTATACATGCAACAGTAACAACATCTAGATGCCACTGGCTCAGGTTGGATTCAAACCAGCCAGCCGGAGGTGAAGGCTCCGGCTCCGGCTCCAATTAGCAGTTGTCGGAGCCAACCTAATAATCATCATGGTTTTCTATTCTTAGGCAGACAGCTGAAAAATGTAATGAAGGAATGTGAATGAATTAGCTGGGGCCATGTCAAATAAACTTAGGAGCAGGGAGTGGGAAACAGAAGGGCTAAATGGGAAAAAATATGAAGACCTCCTCCATAGCACAGCCACAAAGCCCCCCGCCCCCAGCTGCTCCCCACCCCAGCACTGCCAGAGGCTACCCCAGCCCCTAGGGCCAGCGAACAGACAATGACCCACCAGGCCTCTCATCAGCACTACTCAGCCTGACCCTTCCCATCCCAATGGAGCATCAAGCTGACCCTCGTGTCTAAAGTATCCAAGCAGCTCCCAGCCACCCAAGCATTTTATCCTCACGATGCTCCAGGGGAAAGGGCAGTGCTGCACCCATGCTACCCAGGGCTGAACCGTGGTCTCCTCCTCGGTGCAGTGCTTTAACCACAAGAGCTCCCTGTCCACCTCTAATTCCAAAATCTCCTCTCACCTCCCACACCCCCATTCTCTCCCTCTTGTACCCACTCCCCGAGTCTCACCCTCCATCCCAGCTCAGCCTAACACCCCGTCGCCACCCCCCTTCTTGCACCAGTCACTCGGCTAATGCTGAAATTCAGCACTAGTCGCTCGGCTAACCTAATGGCCAGGGCAAGTGCCACGGAGGGAGGGATAGGCCTGGCTTGCACACCATGGCTCCACGAGGGCACAGCTTGCCAGCTGCCGAGGCCTGACACAACAGGAGGCAGAGGTGCCGGGGGTTTTAATGGAAGTAGGTGTCAGATGGCTATTGACTGCACTGGACTGAAGTTTATTAGCAACAGCTATTCACCTGGCTCGCTCTCTCCTGGCTTTGCTACCTGGTCCCTTAGTAACTAGCGGAGCTCTCATGAACTGCAGCGGGCACATTTGTGCCTGTTAATGGCCCGCTCAGGAAGAGATTTAATGCACCTGGAAGGGCATCTTTTTCATAGCAGAGGGGGAAAGTAGCTTGGCTGGCTCTCCAGCGCTGCCAGTGGCTGAGGGTTACACAGCCTCTCCCCACCAAGCAGTGAGCAAGCTGTCAGCCAGAGTCATTATGAATGGGCTGCTTTTGCTATCTGCCCGGGGGGGGGTCCCATCACTTGTTCCCATCAGAGAGAAAAGAACAGGAGTGGTAAGCGGAACAGTATGAGCTTTTAAAAGGGCTGTGATGGCTACACAGCCCCTGAAAGGGGTGCAAGTCAGTGGAAGTATCTGTCCCTTCTACATACAAGGCAGAGGAATGCTCTGCCACAGACTCCCTGTGTGACCTCGGGCATGTCGCTTTACCTCTCTGTGCCTCAGTCCCTTGTCTGTGCAACGGAGATAACAGCCCTTCCCTTTCTCTCCCCCTTAATACTTGAGAAGCCCATACTTTTCAGTGTTGGTGACTATAAGATATGGGGCAAGGGGAAGGCAGGAACAGTAAATCAGGTCTTCGCCGCAGCAGCACACCAGCTAGTGAGCACACAAGACACAAGCCAGCCCCCGAGTCCTCACCCTGGGCTTTGCAATCACTCTGTCCTTCCCATGCAATTGCAAAAGAAGAGAGATCCCAAGCAGGAGAACAGCTATCAACCACTGATCCCGTTGTCTGTTCTGCCGGCATGAAGGGACAGGTACCCTGCCACTGCCTCAGCGGGGGAATCTTTCACAGGCCTGGCAGACCTTTGCTGTCGGGACTGCTAAAGGGTTGTGCAAAGCCACCCGAGTCGGAGAAGCCACCATCTCAAGCGGGACCGTGATCAATGGGCGTTGTCGCAAGCGTGGAGGTCATGTACCAAGCAAGGGGAAGCCCCTGTTACTATCCCACACTGCCTGTTCTGCTCACTCTTGCAGGGAGATGCGAGTGGCTGGGACTGGGAGGCGGCACGTGCCTGCATTTTATGTAAATATTTACACAATGCATTCATATTTGTTATCTGACATTAGCCATGGCCCGGAGCCACTGCAGCATCCCCTGGGTCGTTAATCACGCGTGCGAATCTGACCCAATGCACTGGAGACAACACAACATTTACAGTGTGGGGTGGGGGGGACTGGATCCAGCTTTCTGCGGGAAGAGTCACTTCCTGGCGGGGTGGAAAAAAACCTGCTCCCGGTGTGCAGGGGGGACCAGTCGGTTTGGCTGGAATCGGCCTCTACCTGCGCTGGTGCAGTTCCCCAGCAGAGGGACTGGAACGGTGTCGGGAGCTCTGTTAAGCCCTTCCTGGCTCGCAGCTCCTGGGTACACAAAGTGCACCGGCTGCAAAGGCACCCTCTGCGCCACAGCTTTCCTGGCTGGTAGCTGCCCGTGCCAGAGCCAGCCTCTTACTCCATAACTCAGCAATCTGAAGCCATTTCCATTCTCTCATGTGAGCGTACGTGTTCGATGGCAGGGTGCACGAAACGTGCCAGTTCCCCTAGTTATTGCTCTGCCTCCGCGGAGGAGGTATGGACCAGCGCTACCGTCACCAGCACGGCCTCCTCCGCTGCCCCCTGCCATCTTTGTTTTAGTGATCTGCTGCAGCGTAAAGCATCTGCGTGTGGTGAAGTCTGCCTAGATCCCCCAGAGATGCTTTCTGGTTCCTTTTCTGAGCCTGGGATCAATTCAATGCTGGGTTCTCCGCTCTGCTTTGCCCCCAGCCTCCTTCCTACCCGTTTCCATGTCGGCAATAGGGTTGCCAACCCTCCCACGTCGGCCGCGGGTCTACCGGAACTGGCATCAATCTCTCGGTGACTATTGAAAGCGAGACGGATATTGTGAACAGGTTGAACAGTACAATTAGTGACATTACATCATGCTGGGGGGGGAAAAAAAATCTCCTGGAATAGCTTCAGTCACAGCTGGTACCCAACGTACATCAGAGCAGCAGCCAGCTTCTCTCAATCATTACTTTTCTGGGAATGGGGGTGCCTTCTGGTCAAAAAATCTCCCCTCTTTACTTGACTCCAACCCCAAATACCTGGGTTTTTTCCACCAGGTCTGGTCAGCAATGCAGTGAGGTCTGAACAAGAAGGAGCCAGCTCGGAAAAAAAAAAGGAATCCCTTAAACTTAGACACAGCTTCACTGCACCTGCAAGGAGACCACCGAACAGCAGCCAAGGAAGATAAAGCTATCCCCTGGGCTGACTGCTGAACTGGCTGCAGGGGACGCTTCAAAGCAAGGCTCTGCGGAGACGGATGGGGAGGAAGACAGACTGCAAGCTCAGCAACGCTGATGCGAGCGTGGGGCGACGCCACGGGTCGAAACGTACTTCGCTCACGCCCCAGCAGAGCCCAGTTCAGGAGCTGGTCCAAAGCTCGGTGCAGCCCAAAGGGGCCAGCAGGGCCAGGCAAGCTCCTTCCAAGCAGGCCCATGCCCTTTACCGTGTAAGAGGCTCTCCTTCCCCCTCGGTGTGCGCCCCCGCACGCACGCGACACACCTGCGTGAGCATCACTTTTAAAATTAAAAACGTGTGTCAATAAAAGGAGCGGAAAAGCCTGCGATCGCCCGCAAGAGTGTAAAGTTCACTCCTCCCTGAGTCATATTTCCCGGCTCTCGGCAATAGCTCCGCGGCTCCCACACAAGACCGTACAGAAAGCTCCCCAACCACATTTCCTACAGGAGACTAGGGGTTCACAGAGATCTTGCCACTGAACGGGACCGGCTCCAACCCCTCGGAGATACTGAGCCAGGGCTGAGGCGGCGGTCGAGGGTTCCCAAGTTAAGGGCTAATGTTCACTGCAGGGCACACCGAGCCCCCCCCTTAACCTTTTCCTTCCTCTACAGCACGGTTGCTGCTGCCCGCAGCGCTCCGCAGACCTGACACTGCCCCTCGGGAGACTGGGGACCCCACAGTCTTTTGGAAAGGACGGAGCTGCCTCTTAATGCAGACAATGGCGTCTTGTGCTCTGGAGAGCCACGGCTGCGATCGGCTGCAAACACCCTCTCAGCCAGTACCACAGGGCTGGGAACCAGCTTGGTGCCTGCCACAAGGTGAAGGGGAGGATTCACAAGGCTGCAGCTAAAATGCTGCTCGTTCAAAGAGCCATTCAGCGCAGGAGGAAGCGCTGGAATTACCATAACTTACCATTCGGCATAGCATCCAGCTGCAATTAGATGTTCAAAGGAAAATTCAACTCTACATAACC